GGGATCACAAGACTTTTGAATTTCCTCCATGTGCAGAGACAAAACAGAAAAAAGCCTTAAAGAATCCTTTTGTAGGGTGTGGTTTCATTTGGGAACAATCCAAGCTGAAGATTTGAGTTTTGAGGCCACAAGGACGTTTAGGAAAGCGGCCCCCAAAAGAGAACTGGCCCACTCGTCTGAATGCTAGAATTTAAAGTGTGCCGTTGAGAAGCAAATTTTAAGTGAATAAAATTATAGTAACCGCCTGGTTAAACTGCATCAGTGGCCCACACATTGATGCTTATTTAACTGAGCTATTCATCCATTTCACATCTGTGAATATGTTAGCTGTCACAAGGGTTGAGCCCAGGTTATCAGGTTCAAAGATAACTCTTTACTTTACTCTGTACTGTCCGTCTTCTGATTTATTATCATCACAGCAGTGAAACATCACTGATAAGAGGCTGGTTCCTGCTGAGAAAGGTTTTAAGATTTGATTTGTAATGTTTGCAATATTCTTTGCCAGAAAGACATCAAATATAACTTTTAACTGGTTATGAAACTGCCTGTAATGTATATATCCATGCGTTTATATGACCTATATCAGTAAACAAGGCTATCAGCGAGAATATTTTCTATTTCTATATAGTTATTGTTAATGCTTGGCATGACAGCCACGGGGTCGGATTCCACGCAAAACCCTGCAGGTTCACCAGTTAGTCCTTCAGCTCAGACTCCAGCAGGGCCTCCCGTGGAAACAGCCCAACGCAGACAGAATCAGATCCGGCTTCGCTGCTCCTTCGACCTGCAGTCGGAGATCCGGCGGGAGGTGGGAGAGCTCGGCCCCCGGCAGCAGCGTCTCCTCTCCGCTCTGCTATTGACCCAGGTTAACACGAAATGAAAGCTCCTTATATGACTTTATGTTGAATGGGGTCCCAGAGCTTCATTCTAAAGACATGTTGTGTCTTTGCACAGATTGGCAGAGGCCACCTTCATCAATGGGAACTAGCACATAGAATGCAAATACAATGGGCCCCTTTTTTCAATTATTGGCATATTTTTGGCAATTTATACAGTAAACAGTTGCTAAGAAAAAGCTGCCTCGTGGTCTTTGTGAGAGGTGTTTGCTAAAATGACTTACTGTAATATTCTCTCATCCATCTCCATCACAGGCACGTTATCTTGACTGGCTCCCATCGAAATCATGCTGCTTTGATGTTGCAGGACGTTTTTTTGACATCTTAATTCATCTCACTCACTTGCCTTTTTGTTTCTCTGGCAATGCAGCACTGTTATTAATACTATTCAGGGTTCAACATTAACTTTTCATAATGGTTGCCAGGCTGTCCACCCTCAATTAACGGTCTACAAAGTAGTCGTAGTGCAGCGGTTGTTCTTCACAGATCCCTCACAGATGCGTCCAGCAAGTCTCTGCTGGCTTGTTCATTCGCTCTCTCCCTTTAATCACCTGAGGTACCAGTTTTTCTGTTTGCTGTCTTTATTTTTGTGAAAAACCTGGTTGCTATAGGCCCAAAAATTGGTTGCCAACTTCCAAAAATGGTTGCCATTGGCAACCCTTACTCTATCAAGCCCTGTAGTGTTTTGGGTCTCCTAATATGACTGCTGACACATTTATCCAGTTTTTGTCTGCAGATTTCAGAGAGCAGGACTTAAAATACTACAATGTGATATTTCACTTGAAACTACCAATATACAGTCGATTGGATGGATTCCAATTTCATCAAATGCTTTCAAACCTAAAATCTTCAATGAGTGAAAATGATTTGAGGCAAACATGTTCAGTCAGACAGAGAGGATGGGAGGATTCAGTGTTGTGATTTTTTGCCACTTGAAAATCCAGTTTGTCTCTTTTTGAGAACCACAGGTTCTATTCTAAACAGTCCCCGTATTGGAAAAAGATTGATGTCCTGTGCTTTGGATGAAAGCAGCCTCCGCTTGGCATATATTATGTTCATGCTTCACGCTGAGACGACACAGGGTAACCGCACATCAAACCTCCAGCCCGTCAGATCAGTGGTGGAGGTACAGTTGTAGGGAGAAAACAAAGGGAAGGATGGGTGTGTTGGGGAAAAAGACAATTGCATCTTTTAATTGAATCCCTGGAGCATTGAAATGCTCGAAGGGTGATTGGAATCCAACCACCCTAAGCCTTTGTTTCTTCCCTCTTCCATAAACTAGAGCAAAGCATTCTGTGATATGATCATCTGAGAACTTGTATAGTAAAGATCCATAACCCCCAACGTATCTCTGTCGCTCTACTTTGCCCTCTGCTTTATGATCTTCCTCAATTCACGTTTGTTCACGACTCTTTTCTCCCATGTATTCCCCTCAGTCATTCTCGCCTCCTCCAGTCGCTCCACCTCTGTGTGTGTGTGCCTCCCTTTGTTGTTTGCTCGTCTGCGTTGTCATGTCCCAATCCATTGCAGAGCAGCAAGTCAAACTGCCACTTCAGATTCCCTTCGCCTCTGTTTTTTCTTGCCTTTCCTTTCTCCCTTCGCGGTGTATTTCCCTCCCCCATAGCCTCACTCTCTCTCCTCCCTTCTCAGTTCAGGCCTAATTAGCAAAATTCATCCCTGATCAATAGACCCTCCTCATGGGAGCACGAGAGGCAGCAGCCCAGAGTGGCGACGTGTGTGTGTGTGTCTCTGTGTGTGCACATGCATGCAGAGTGGGGTGTCAAAGGGCAATGTGTTGAACCAGCTTAGCAGACAGATACTGTATGCGTGCACACACACCTTTGTTCATGGCAAATATCCTGCTTTTAACTCCACACACAACTTTATTCATGCACACAGTATCCATGACACAACAGATTACAGCGACTTCAATTCATGTCTGCACCAGCCATTGACATGCAATATATCGTAGCGTAGGTTTTTCTCACAACTATTCAAAGTACACGTTGGGCTCCAGACGGGAGAATAATAGAAATTCTACCCTGTCAATTTAATAAAAAAATATCACTGCGAACAGTTAGAGAGAGAACTAACCCGACTAGCCTGCTAACCCGGCTACAAAATGCAACGTAAGCGAAACTCAACCAATTAATGCGTTTCATTTTAGTCAAGTGTATTTTACGCACAAATCATAAATCAAATCAAAACGGATAGTTTCTTTTCAAATACAGAATTAAACACAAAAGGTTCATTAAATCAAATAAACCACATGTCCGAGTCCAGATATAGAAATCACATGTTCATTGAGTAATGAAAATGAAATGAGGACTCCAGGTGAATGTCAATAGTTTATGTGCAAGTGATAAGGTGTGAGTGGCATGAGTGTGTGTGTTGGGTTGGGGGGTTGTAGTTCCGTTCCAAAGCTAAGGGAATATATGGCAGTTCAGTTCAGTTCATTTCAGTTCCGTTCAGTTCAGTTCAGGGTGTGTAAGTGTTCTAGGAGAAGAAGAAGGAGAAGCCTGGAGAGTTTCAGTTAAAGGGACTTAGATTGATGAATCCCAGAAGTTAAGGAGGCCTCAAACTGGTCCAAGCTGTAGCGGAACACGATTCTTTGTTCACCACCTGCTCCCGGGATCAGCACACCTCCCATAAGGCCTTGTCCTCCCAGAAAGCTCCGTGTGTCCAGCCGGTTCATGGATCCTTGCTGCTCTGATTTAGTTTAGTCTTGGTCAACATTTTCTTATTTTGAGTTTAACAGGTCCAGAAACTGAATAATAAATTCAGTAGCTCCATTAGCCACTCTCGCTCCTCTCTTTGTTCTCCTCCATGCAGCTTTGGTTAGTTGATTAGTTCTATTTCATCCTTACTGACCACCAGAGGCAGTGCTTAACACTGGATATCTTCTGTCTCGCGCATGCGCAGGTCGAGTATTTATATCAGCAAAGTCACCTGTGACGTCGGAAGACCCCCGTCGTATATAAGTTCCGGTGTCATCCTGAGTTCAGTCCTTTTTCATCTTCTCGCTACGCAGGCTAGCTACCATGGTAGCATAAGCTTAAACAAAGATGTATTTACGATCAAGACATATTAGAGCATATAGGTAGCCTTGTGACCACCGGTCGGAGTTGCGGATCTCTCGCCCTCCAAAGGCTGACCCAAGCTAAATTAGACCATTTGGGCGTCAAACTGGGAAACAGAAATCCTCCCTTGGAATCTTGTGTCATGCCCCAAGCTGTCCCGGGAATGGCGTATTTCGCCGTTCGGACCATCGAGCCCCGGACTGGTGGACGCCCCTATCATCGGTCATTCACCAGTCTGATAAGGGCCACCTAACTTGGTGAGATGCTAGCTAGACAAAGCTGATACTGGGATTGTGTCCATTGACTTTATAACCTTACGGCTGTCACAGTTAACAGAGCGTCCTCGCTCAGGCTAACTCAGTGGGAAGCTAGCTAGACAAAGCTGATACTGGGACTGTGTCCATTGACTTTGTAGCATTACGACTATCACAGTTAGCAGAGTGTCCTCGCTCAGGCTAACTGGGTGAGATGCTAGTTAGACTAAATCGACATTGATGTTGTGTCCATTGATGCTGTTACGCATTACGGCTGTCGCAGTTGGCAGTGTCCTCGCTCAGGCTAACCTGGTGGGACACTAACTAGACTAAGTTAATACTGGGATTGTGTCCATTGATTTTGTAACATTACGGCTATCACAGTAAGCAGAGTGCTCTCACGCAAGCTACCTGGTGGGACACCAATATCTGCAGCGACTGTCCAAGTGAAGAGTGTCCGAAGAGATCACTCCCCTCTGACTGCCCCCTGCCTGTTCTCTCAGCATTCAGCAGAGCGCTCCCGCTCAGACTGACTTAGAATTCCGCATCAACTAGTGGGACAAAGGTTCCTCCAGAATCGCGGCCATGTTAACTCTCCGGGCTGTAGGACCTGTATGGCTCCTCTTCAGCCTGACGACGGCCATGACCTCGGCCTCTCTTGCCTTAGCATCAAGCATCTGAGGGAGGGCCTCTCGCAGAACCCAGGCAGGAACTGCGGCATCATGCCTTGAGTAGTAAGGTCTGCTAGGCTGGCCGAAGTGGAACACCTGATGCGTGAGTTCGACCTCACGCATCAGGTGATGCTGTCAGGGCTGTCAGGGCAGCTGAATCCAGCCCAACCTACCCTGATCATTCGCATGGCGCTGGCACGCCTGCAGTGGGATACACAGCAGCCGGAACCTCCGTCTGCGAGTGCCTTCTTCAGGCGCGTTCCCGCCCCCACCACCTTTTCTGTTGCTCCCTCCGAAGAATATCTGAGGGAGTTGCATGCATGCTTGGAGAGACACCAGGGCTCTCTCCCGCCTTACGTCAGATGGCCGAACCCTGACGGTCAAGCAGGAGGTGGCTCCCACTCTGGCCCCCCGAGGCCGTTTTCAGCCCCCAGCTTACCCCAGTAGCCGCCACGGGCCTCAGCGTCCCGCTGAGAGGCCGGCCCGCTACCAATACAACCCTACCTAACTCCCCGCGAGGTAACCTCCGAACTTGGGGACTAACAGTCGCCCCCCCCCCCCCCCCCAAAGCCTCCAGAGGCAGGGGGGCCAAGAGATTTCTCCCGGCCGGCTGTCGTTTTTTTCTCCCAGCAGCAGATCAGCTACTGGGCAGCTCATGCTTCAGCCCCCTGGGCGGTGTCCACCCTAACACAAGGGTATAAGCTTCAATTCCGACGCCGGCCCCCCAACCTTCAGCGACAAAATCCCTAACCCTGAGCCAGGAGCTGCGTTCCCGGCCAAGGGCGCAATCGGGGTGGACCCCCTGTCACAAGAGCCCGGGAGATTCTACTCAACTTACTTTCTTGTAAAGAAGACAGGCAGCGGACTACGCCCAGTCCTAGATCTGAGGGGACTCAACAAGTTTCCGAAGGTGTTGCCATTTCACATATTGAGCACAGCAGACGTCCTTCATGCTATTTCCAAGGGAGAGTGGTTCTCGTCTGTTGACGCCTATTCCTATGTTCCCATAGTGTATCGTCACAGGCAGTTTCTTCGTTTCGCCTTTTAAGGCCTTCACTTTCAGTCCAGGGTGCTTCCATTCAGACTCTCCCTTCTCCCCACGGGTGTACTGCTGTCCTTACCCGCTGCAATCACAGGGTGTGAAAATACTGCCGTATGTAGATGATTGGCTGACCTGTGCCCCATACCGGCTTCAGGCGGCACAGGACACTGCTCGCCTTCTCTCACGGGGCCCGGTGGGGCCTCAAGGTGAACATGGAGAGGAGCTACCTAAGCCCTTCTCAGAGCATAACCTTCATTAGTTTGGCTCTATGAGGGCCTGTCTGTCGCCCCAGCGTGTGGACGACATCACCCACAACCTCTCCCCCTTCCTAGGGGGCAGACGGTTGCCTTAAATCCTTTTCTCCGCCTATTGGGTAAACTAACAGCTGGCTCAACTGTCGTTCCCTTGGGTTTGGACAGTGGCGGGCCGTGCATTTTATACCTGGGCCTTCACTGCTGTCCTGCAGCTGAAACACAGCTACGGTTATTATTTGTTTCGTGTAAAAATGAAGCCAACACCTGTAGATACACTATCTGCCAAGAGTGCGTCTCCTCTTTGCTCTGACTGCAGCCGGGACTGCAGCGCGACGCTTCTGTGGGCGGCGGCGGAGGTGCTCACGGCAGCACCCGCTGCTCGTTTACGACAGTGCAGAACGTATGTGCTTTAATGTCAAAACACCAGAAAATTCTCCAATAACACCAGAACAAGTCGCTAGATTTGTCACTAGTAGCTTTTGACATAAAGAAGTCACCATGAGGGTTTGGAAAGTCGCCAGATTTAGTGAGAAAGTCGCCAAGTTGCCAACACTGGCACCTGCTAAATATGTCCCCAGTGCAACATTGGACGTAACAATGGTTCCTATCACATATAAAACCAAACAAAAGTCTTCATAAAAAAATGTTGTACAAATAATAATATATAAACAAGCATATTAAAGCTACTGCAGATGTAAAAACAAACGCATTTAACTTACCAGAGCTGCTGTTCACTTTTTAAAGACAAAGTGCATCCTCCTTTCTTTGTTAACAAAGAGTTTAATCTCATGGTTGTTCAGTACATCCGTGTGTTTTAGTTCCAGTAAGAAGTCCTTCTCGATTCATGGACGCCAGTGAAGACAGCCTCCCTAGTTGTATTTCTTGAATAGGTTTTAATGTGTTTGAGGGCTAAAAATGTCCGCTCCACAGAGGCAGCAGATATTGGGATTGTCACCGCCCAACACGTCAGGCTAGCCCACTGACCAATCACGTACTTGTAGGCCAGCTAGCAGGCTCTGGCACGTCAAAGAATACGCCCAACATGTCAAACTAAAGATCTGATTGGTTGAAGAATATGACAATCAACAATATCGTCCCCATTCACTTAAACTGCAAAGGGATTCACTTGTGAGTCTGCAGGCCTCGGGCCTCTCTTCTTACCTAGAGACACAGAGGTGAGATCTGATTGGATAAAAGCTCTACTTAAAACAAGCTGCACTGGAAGCAGAGCAACTGAGGAACACAGTAGCTGTGCAATGAGAAAATAAGATAATGGGAAAAATATTTTTATAAATTATAATACATATAGTGTATTTAAGAACAATTATTAAATTATAAAATAGCTATAACTTTGTGATTCTGTTTAGGCCAGCAGAGAAGGCCTTGCAGGCCCTGACGGCCCGCCACTGGGTTTGGAGATGGCCAAACAGCCTTCACCTGGATGCCAAGTGGCACAGACACAGGGCAATAGTAGTATCAAAGCAGTGCCTACTCACTCTATCACCATGGAGGGAGACTGCATATCTGGCAAATGGTGTTTCCTCAGTTCCATTCCGCCGGGAGATTGTCACAACAGATGCCTTCCTTTCAAGGCGGGGTGCAGTGTGGCAGAACAGGACTGCTTGGGGGCAGTTGTCTGCTCAAAGACCGCATGGGCATGTCAATGTTCTGGAGCCACAGACTGGTGTCCCTCTTCCTAAAAAGGGGCTCTGCTATTGCGTGCCCCTAAGGCCCCTACCCTTGGTACTGGACACCCTATGCTTGCCTCCTTTTGATCCCCTGGCACAGGCAGAGCCGAAATGGCTATCGGCCAAAATGTTTTTTCTCCTTGCCATCACTTCAGCTAAACGTGTAAGCGAGCTGCATGCCCTGTCGGTGAATGAATCATGTCTGAGGTGGAACTCAGATGGCTTGGGTGTCACTTCGTGGCCTAATGCAGCGTTTCTCCCAAAGGTGTTGACATGCTCACAATACAACCTGCCTATCCAGCTCGCGCAGTTTGACCCCCCCATCTGGAGAGAAGAGGTCAAGGCTGCTGTGCCCAGTGCGGGCCCTCAGAGCTTATGTGGAAGCCACCGCCTGCATGCGGCGGTCTGAGCAGCTCTTTGTCAGTTATGGTGGGCCTAAGAAGAGCTGTGCTCCTTCAAAAAACGACGCCTATCCCACTGGATAGTGGAGGCCATTGCCTATACGTACAAGGCGAGCGACTGCGCTCAGCCATCCGGGCCACTCTACCAGGAGTGTCTCCACGTCATAGGCAGCCCTGAAAGGTGTGCCTGTGGAGGATATATATGCTGCGGCCTCATGGGCATCACCGAGCACATTCACCAAACACTACAGAGTTAACCGTGCCACCCCTCACCCACTGGGGAGGGTTCTTTTGCCAGTTTCCTCTGCCGGAGCTATACGAGGTAGTTGCTGTGATTTCTCATGACTCTGTTGATATAAGTCATCCAGTGTTAAGCACTGCCTCTGGCGGTCAGTAAGGATGAAATAGAACGAAAGTTACGAATGTAACTATGGTTCTATGAATCCTGGATGACCGCCAGAGTTCTTGGTCACTCGGAATCCCGTGAACTCGCGAGAAGATTCCGTAGGACTGAACTCAGGATGACACCGGAACTTATAGATGAGGGGGGGTCATCCGAGGTCACAGGTGACTTTGTTGATATAAATACTCGACCTGCGCATGCGCGAGACAGACGATATCCAGTGTTATGTAGGGTTGGGTACCGAAAATCGGTGCCACCGGTTCCTATACGACCGGTATCTACCAGACCGAAACGCAATGCATATTTCGGTGCTTCCTTTCGGCGCCTGAGCCGATTGAAATACTTTTTTTACACTACTCTGATGACTCCGTCCTAGCAGCAGGTAACAAGAGCCTCGGTCCTCCGCTCCTCACTCATAGTATTATTACAACTGGACGAGCCGTGCACACTTAGAAACAAACCCCTCCATCATTCTGGCGAAGCTTCGGCCATGATTTATTAAAAAGAAACAACGAGAACGAGATCTGTGCTGGCGCTGGCGCACATAAGCACAACATCCACAGGCACGCGAAACTTTCTTCTTCTTCTTTGAGGTGTAGTGGCAGTTGGCAAACGATGAATTGGGGCATTAGCGCCACCAACTGGTAAAATAAAATAAAATAAAATAAGTCAGGAGAAGGCAAATGTGCTCATATTTCTGCAAAAGAATTGCTGAAATTTGAAGCTGTAGTGTGTGTACAGAGTGTGTGTGTGTTTTGTATTTATTTATATTTATTTAAGTATACTGTAAACTGTTAACAGTTAATATATTGTTCATAGTTTGAAGTTAAAAAGTTTGAAGCTGTAGTTTGAAGCCAAGTGTTTTGTATTTATTTATATTTATAGTATACTTCAAACATTTAATATATTGTTCAATTTGAAGAAAAAAGTATCGGTTCAGGCACCGTTTAGGCACCGGTATCGTTTTAAAAGTATCATTTTAGCACCGGTATCGGAAAAAACCCAAACGATACCCATCCCTAGTGTTAAGCACTGCCTCTGGCGGTCATCCAGGATTCATAGAACCGTAGTTACATTTGTAACTTTCGTTTTTTCCCCCTTCCCCCAGCTCACAGGTATGTCTAATTTATAGCCTCTCTTTCCCCACCTTCTTTTCCTGTCAGGTTGGAAAAGGGCTATTCTGTGTATTTCTGTTCTGCTACAATATCTACCTTTGATTGTCCATAACTGTTACCATCAATGGCACATTGACTCAGTGTTTGCGGTGTAAACTGATACCACAGACTGGATATAAGTAGTGGATGTAGTCAACATGATGTCACACATTGGTTTGTGGACTGTAGTTTTGAAGCTCGAGTTCGGCATTTTGTCCTTCATCATCTTGGTTTTAAGTGCAACTGAATAAGGCAGTTTTAAAAGATCAATATGTTACAATTACCTTTCTTGAACTGAAAACACAGTGAAAGGGTTAAATTTGTGAGATGAACTTCCAGACTGGACAACGCCATGGAAGCGACCCGTAGATAGCAAGGTAGCCCCGCCCTCAAACACAGGTCGACAACCTTTTTGATCTGAAGTGCCATTTTTAAATGATTTTGTTAATCAGTGTGCTGTATCAACATTGAGGTTAAAATTAAGTTTAATTATGACACCATATCATATATGTTAACCTCCCACAGATCTATAATCTTATTCCATCCATATAGGCAACATACATAGCACCATTATTAAAAAAACATTTTTCTCCATAATCAGGACATTGTAATTAAATACAAGGTTGCCATCCTTTATAAAAACATCCACATCTGAGTTGAGATCATTAACCTACCAACCTGCCAATATTCTTCCTCAGCAATAAACTTCTGCCATTAAGGCAACAAGTATTAGCCAACCAGAAGCAGGGGGTCTTTGCGGTATGCTAGAGAGAAAAAAGTCAATAAAACTACCTGCAAGGGCACTTTAGCATTCACAAAAAACTCTTATTTATGTAAATAACATTTAAAAAACATGTTTTGCTAGTGTGCCATTGGTTAAGCTTTAAGTTGCCTACACCCCGCCCTAAAGCATCCCCTGCTTTATGGTCTATTTGACTCTAAGTGGACCAACATTTACTAAATGAACATCATGCTGTATTGAAGAAGACTTGAAACTAGAGATTGAGACCATAAACTCATGTTTATAATGTTTACTGAGGTAATAAATCAAGAGAGAAGTAGAGTCATTTTCTCATAGATTTCTATACAACCAGACTTTTTGCAACAAGAGGAGTCGCCCCCTGCTGGTCAGTAGAGAGAATGCAGGTTTAAGACATGAAGCTTTGGCTTCACGTTTCAGAACCGGAGGTTTCCGCTTGGCTGATACTGCAGCATATTCTGATGCTAAACAGTTTGTAACAAAGATTTTATTTGCAGGGAAATATGCTCATTGAACTCCATAGAACAATTGCATAATAATTATGAC